TCAGTAATGCTCCTTTTTAACTTTATTCCCATCCCCATCCCCATCATTCCAAAGTAAACCCTTGGGTGCCCATTAGGGCTACCATGTCTGGGCTGCAAGTATCCAGAGGATGACTAGATGGCAGCAGATACAGGAAACCCTCTGCTGCCATCATGTGGTGGTTTGTATGAATGCAGTGTAAATATGACAGCCCTGTTTGAAAGGAACCACAGCATCTGAATTATGAAGAATAAATACTCTCAATATAATCACTGTCTTTGTTTTTTTCTGTTACGGTTGTACAGTTGCTTAGATCCCACTCCTTTTTTCTTTCAACTTAAGAATTGAAACCCTTAGCTCTGGTGCCATTGCTTAACCCTTAAGAGAGTTTTAACTCTGGTGCCATTTCTACCTACCTGCACATATATTCACAGACACATAAACACATACACACACAATATTGTTTTCCAGGCTTTTACACATCCCATTTTTTACAGGCAACATGCATCAGAAATGGAAATCATCTTTCCAAGAAATTCAGGTCCAAAGTCCTGCTTCACAGGAATATTATGCCCAAGAAAAACAATTATTTCATTTTTTAAAACCCTTATATACATTATTATACCTTATTTTCACCTTGAAGCCAGTTGAAAGATGGCAGCTGTTAACAAAAGCCCTTCTTATTCTTTAAGTTTAAAATATTCCTATTCCAAGGACTTATCATAGTTTTAGGTCGAATGTATGTTCTAAAGAGGACTTACTATAATTATATATTCTTGCCCAGTATCAGCTCACTGTTAGGCATGACTATTGCTAAGCCAGGGGAAATATAACTTAGGAATAATGAGTTGGTAGTTGTAGCTGTGGTTAAGGATGCATTGAGGAAGAGTAAAGAGCGAGCAAGGTGTCAGAGTACTGCACCTGAACCATTGGATAGTAGATGAAGGAATAAGGCTGGTGATTGGCAGTAGACATGGCTGAAAGGTAGAAGCTTGAAGGACAGATGAAGGAAAGAAAGATGAAGAGGAAGGTAACTTTTGAAGAAGCAGTTGGAACTAGGAAAATCAAGTTGCATGGAAGGAGATAAAAGAGTTCAATAGATTTTGATGATTGTGGAGGACTGCTGTTGGATTGAAGGAGGAGGTGAAGGAGAGCAGAATAGAGAATTCTGATAGAAGAAGAGAGTTTGGGCTCATCCACCCAATCTACTTGCCAAGGTATAAAGATACCCCACTTACTGTTTGTTCATGTCAGGCCCAGCCCAAGAACAACAAGGAAGTAGTCCAGCCAAGTTCAGTTCTTTTATTGCTTATACCATATAGACAGAATCTTGCCAGACTAAATCTGTACTATGCTAACCTAATAGATACATCCTGGGAGATTCTAGGGAGTGGCTATCTTAAATTTCTTCTTCTCATGCTCCTGCTCTGGACTGTGTTGTCTCTTCTCTGAGCATAGTTTCACTTTTCTTCAATTTCATACCTACTGTATTATAATGCTGGGAATAATTTTGGTGCTCTTTCTACCTAGTCTCCAGAGATCAGCAAATGTGTCCCATGATTGCTCATTCTTCCACTTGTAATTCTTTATCCCATATCTATACTAGTTTAGGTAATACACACAAAACACAGTCTTATTCTTTGCAATTTTGCTCAGTGTGCTGGTATAGATACAGAAGGCCAAACAGAAATGGCTGCTTTTTCTCACAATATAATTGTAAATAACCAAATTTTAGTGCCTAAACCAGCTTCATATTTATATTGCATCACAGTTGCTAAATTCAGGAGAACCTTATCTTTAGCTCGATTTAATGTTCTCCCCACAGCTGTTTTGGAAGGGAAATATAGGGAAACCTCTTAAGACACTTGATATTGCCCCTGTGAAATGGGTGCTATAGAAACCACAGCCCATCTTCTTTTGTATTGTCAGTTCTACAGGGACATTCACCACCAGATTATCCCTTTTTTATCTAAATTTCTGGGGCATTCCAATAATTTTTATTTGTATTCTTTGTTACACAATCAAGATAAATCTACCGTTCCAAAAGTAGCACAGTTTTGCAACATTATGTGCAAGCTTCACCCCCAAATGGTTGCCAACAGTCATTGATGTGAGGGGTTAATTTTGTTTTATTTGTTTTACCAAATGTATTTTTATTGGCTCATGACTGAAATAAAGTTTCTGTCTGTCTGTCTGTCTGGCATACCCCCACCCCCATATGAAACATTAGTGCCGATACCACTTAGCATATCTCTGCAGATGTTTAAAACGATTGAATGGCATTACAAAATTGAAAACAGTGCCAACTTCAACAGATAGTGGCATAATCGTTCATGTAAGGATTTGAAAATATAACACATCCAATACATTCAAACATAAACTATACAGATAAGATCGCAATTCAGATAACATTAAATGAAATGGCGGAAGTGGGGGAAAGTGTTTTGTTTCCTCACTTTTTGTTCTGTCAGGAAGAAAGTTCCTCTTTTCTAGGAAATCAAACACATAATTCCTGGATTAAAGGAACTCCAGGAGTAGAAACTTCAGTCTATTGAGGGTGAACTGTTTAGTTCATCTCTTTCTCTAACCTGAAGGCCCAAAATTGTTGACACCTTCCAGCATGAGTTGCGTATTTTCCAAAAATTTGTATAAAGAAATAGAAGTATTTGGAATACTTTGTTCCCTCTTTTTTATCCTTACTTCGTTGTAGCGGCTGCATCCTGCAGAAGATGAGAGGAAGAATTTGCTAAAATGGGTGGGAATTCTGAACATGTTGCTATTGAGCAGATCATATTATATTTCATCTGGGAAAAAAACTGTCAATCTGTTCTCTCTCTCTCTCTCTCTCTCTCTCTCTCTCTCTTTCATTCTCCCCCTCTCTCTCCCTCTCCCTCCCTAAACTTCTTACACTTTTAGAGCCAATTTAGGGTATTTTTGGCTCATGGAATCATAGCGTTAGAAGGGATCTTGGAAAACTTCTAGTGCAGTGTTGTCCAAACCTGGCCACTTTAAGATGAGTGGACTTCAACTCCCAGAATTCTCCAGCCAGCATCTTGGAAAACTTCTAGTGCAGTGTTGTCCAAACCTGGCCACTTTAAGATGAGTGGACTTCAACTCCCAGAATTCTCCAGCCAGCATGGCTGACTGGGGAATTCTGGGAGTTGAAATCCACTCATCTTAAAGTGGCCAGGTTTGGACAACACTGCACTAGAAGTTTTCCAAGATCCTGGCTGGAGAATTCTGGGAGTTGAAATCCACTCATCTTAAAGTGGCCAAGTTTGGACAACACTGTTCTAGTGCAATGCCCTGCACAGAGTAGGTATCCTCAATCCATCCCAGACCAACGGCTGTCCAACCTTTAGTTGAAAACCTCCAGTGATGGAGCCACCATGATTCCAGGAGGGCAGCTGTGCCATTGCTTCATAGCTTTTGTGATCAGGAAATTCCTCCTTATTTGAGTTTGGACCTCTCTCTATAAAGCTTTCACCAATAGGTTCTTGTCCCATCCTCAGGAGCTAAGGAAAATAAATCCACACCCTCTTCCGTGTGACACCACTTTAAGTATTGGAAGACTACTATAATGTCTGCCCTCGGCCTTTTCTTCTTTAGGATAAAAAATTCCCAGTTTCTTTAACTCTTCTTCATAAGTTAAGTTACATTTGGTATGGGTCTTATAACCGGTAAAAATCTGGCCTTTTCATTTTAAAAACAGAGCTATGGGAAAAAAGATCCAGTTTAAATAGCTTTGCTAGTTGCTTCTTCTTCTTATTTTCTTCTTCAGTTGAAAATTCATGAGGAAAAAAAACCCTTTCTCTCGGATCACTTTTTCACTTTGTACACTAACACTTGTCCTGTTACTAATATTACTTTTGTGAAATCATCTGCCTCATGCATTGATTCATGACATTAACTAGCTGAAAATGCTGGTTGGGAAAGAGATATAGAATTTGCTAGAGGGATTTCATCCAAACTCAACAGTACAAAAAAATAAACTGGAGGTGAACAACACAGCGGTGACATCCTCTTTGAAAGACAGTGTGGTTCTTCTGTCCTTGAAGGAGGTGATGCTATGCCTCCGTCTCAAGAGACCATTCCTGAACCCATCCATTCTGGACCACTATAGTCCAGGTTCCATCTTCCCTTTGTGGGGAAGGTTGTGGAGAAGGTGTTAAGATTGCAGCTACAGAGGTTGTTGGAGGAAACAAATTATCTGGACCTGTTTCAGTTGGTTTTCAAACCAGGGTATAGTTTGAAGGAGATTGGTTGTGCTTATTAATGACCTTTAGCAGAACCAGAATGGGGTTAGTGCATCCATCCTTGTGCACCTTGATCTCTCAGTGGCTTTTGATACCATCAACCATGATATCCTTCTGGACTAGCTGCAGGGATTGGGAGTGGAATGCACTGTGCTGCAGTGGTCTTCCTTCTTCCTCAGTGGTTGTTCACAGTTGGTTTGAAGAGAGGGGAGAGATCATGCCCATGGCCCCTCACTTGGGGGAGTGCCTCAGGGGTCGATGCTCTCTCCCTTCCTGTTTAACTTCTACATGGAACCACTGGGTGCAATCATACATTGGTCCAGGGTCCAATATGCTGATGATACCCAGGTATACATCTCAACCCCAGGCTATGCAGGTGAAGCTATCAATGCATTAACCCAGCATCTGGAGACTGTTCAGGTCTGGATGAGGAGGAACAGACTTTAGTTCAGTCCTGTCAAGACTGAGTAGCTGTGGCTATTTGCCACCCTGGGTCAGGGACATTTCCATTGTTGGTCTTAGATGAGGCTGCACTTCCCCATTTGAGACTGATATGCAACTTATTTATTTATGTATTTATTCAGTAAATTTATAGGCCGCCCATCTCGTATACATGACTCTGGGTGGCTCACAATTAAAACAGAATAAAAACAATAAAAACAACCAGAATTAAAAACAACAAAAGTGACATAAAAATAGCAGCTGAGAAGACTCATAAACTCTCAAACTAACCATGACACAGGCTCACCCGTACCATCAGAAAATATGAGGGGGCCCTTCATGTTGGTAGTGGGCAAGGCCAAAGCCAAAGGTGGGTTGAATTAAAGTCAAAATGAATGAATAACTTTTGTCACTTCTTTTTTCATTCCTCTTCCAATCAATTTCTGACTCAAACAAATGTCCATTCATGGAAACACACACCAGAGCCCCAGTTTACCAGTCTAGGCAGTCTTCTTCTTGGCTGTAGCTGCTGTGAACTTTTTATGTGTTTGATTTGTGTTACAAACTTTTGACAATACATCTAAGTATATGTGGAAGAGTTCTTCCAAGATTGCCACAAAAGTAACAAAAATGGCCAATCTTTCCCTTCTCTGCTATGAAAAATTCTCATTATTCCCTCCCATATAACTGCAATTAAACATGCATGCTCATGTTCTCTCAAAAATTCTTCCTTGCCATCAGGAGAATTTCTATGAAAAATTAATTAGGGAAGGCTTATTCATAAGAATTGTTTTTTGGATGGATACTCTTGTTTGCAAAGTTGTGCAGTTTTCTCCATTTCCCTGGATATCTGTATCTTCAGTGCAGCTGCATAAATTCCCAAATGGTGGAGGTGATTTACTTTTGACTTTGTCCAAATAAACAATTTTCAGATCATCCTTCTTTCCTCTCCCTTCCATTCCAGATAACATAAGACCTCGTTATTTCATAAAGAGTTCCTCACACTTACTTCACAACGTACAAAAACAACTGCCCCAAATGATTTAGCATACTGTTTCATCCAACCCCCTCCTGCCAAAATAACCCAATTCATGCAATCTAAAAATGTGTAACCACCACTTTTAGTTTCCAGTAATAGTCTGCATCTCAGTAGCATCAATGGCTTAAATCTGGTTACCAGTTAAAAGTCATGTCCGGGTATAGCAGACTGTCATGTTACAATCAAGTTGATGCAATCTGCATCTGGCCAGGATTGTGACATATCCTTTGATTGGAAGAAACCCCAGATTCCTTGAAAAGTAGCTCCTGAGATACACATTTATATTATTTGGATAAAGAATAGTCTTTCCTGACAGCCCTGGTTCTTCCTTCTCTACTCTTCTTTCTACTGATAGCTCAAATTAATTTTCCCCTAAAGATCAGAGACTTAAGTCCAACCTCAAAGATGGGCTGATGAAAGAGGCATGGATCCCAGAGATTGTAGGGTTCCAAATTAAATGTAACCACCATTCTCAGGACAATGATTATACCTATGGTTCACTACTGTAACCATTATCAATCTGGTAAGTAAAAGTGTATAATGGTGTTTTAAACTTCTCGGCTTATGTGTATTTTTGTTTGTCCTGTATATGTAAAGTTAAGTCACCTTCAAGCTGAACTTGACTCCTAGTGATTACATAGAGGTAACCACACGATTTTCTTGGCAGTCATGTGAAAGTGATTTAGCACTGCCATGATCCAGGATGATGTTTTGACTTCCAATCTGGCCTACAAACCTGGGGTTTCCTGGTGGCATCTCACACTTGTACCAAGCAGCAATGATCCTGCTTAGATTGTTCAGGTCAGACAAGATCACATAGAGTGGGTGCTTACTGGAGTACAACAAATGTAAAAATAAATATAAGGATAAAAGTCTTCAGAACATCATTGCGAGAGCAATAAATTGGATGTCCTCTTAATAGGTGAGAAATTGAAGCTAAGACCCAGAGGTTTGGGTAGTAATATCTTATAAACTTTTCTTCAGCTCAGATCACCTGGTTTGTAGATTTTAGATGTCATATCATTGCCTATATGAGCACTTCCCAAGAATCTTATTACTAATATCTTTGCATATCTTGGTTCTTGCTTAGGAAATTATGGCGAAAGTGGGATGGAAGCTTTCAAAGACATGTCAGCTAAAGAAGGGATCTGCATTGCCCATTCCTACAAGATCTACAGCAATGCCGGGGAGCAGAGTTTTGATAAGTTGTTGGAAAAGCTAAGAAGCCATTTACCCAAAGCAAGAGTTGTAGTGTGTTTCTGTGAAGGCATGACAGTACGAGGACTGTTGATGGCAATGAAGCGCTTGGGGCTGGCTGATGAATTTTTGCTGCTGGGCAGGTGAGTAAATCTATCAATATTTGTTGCCTTATTCTTATCAACAGAATAAATCCTTCTGTATTTAAATTTAAGCTACCTCATGGATAAAGAAATCTCAGTTGATTAACAGCAGGAGGCTTACTCCGTTAGTCCAATATTTTCTTAGTGGCACAGGAATTCAGAACTGAAAAGTAGGCTTTCTTGGTTTCTCAAAATTGCACCAAAGTATTGTAGCAAGCAAGCAATTATCATCTAAAAGAGATTTATTTTGTCTTGTGTGGGAAGAAAAAGATCGGGATGCCTCTTTTCCAATGAGGCATGTCAACTGCCATCTTTATAATTGTTTTTATTTTTTTTAATTAAAACATTGATTGGCTGTTTCATTAATCAGGGAGAAACTTTTTAATCCATCAGAAGGGGTTTGAACAATTACTGTAACTGATTAACCCTTTCAATCTTGCATTGAATTAACCCAGTAATATAGGGAGACAGTTAGCATCCCTGGAATGTGAGAACACAAGTGGAATCATTTACTTGGATCCAGAAAACAGGCTAAAAGATTTCTGCTTGGAAAGAGAGCTTGTGGCCCTCCAAATGTTCTGGCTATGCTGGATGGGATTTTGAGAGGTGCAATTCAGCAAAATATGGAGGGTTCCATTCATTGATTTCAATGCACATTTTCTACTTCTATTGTTTCCTGGGTCTTTTAGGTAGAGATGGGATAATATTGGAAAATGTATGCACAATTACAGTGTCTTTTCCTTTCAGGCAGACTTTTCTCCCCACAGATGCATAGAACTAATGAAAATACAACATATCTGCAATTCAGTTGAGGGTTTGGGCAAAACTCTAATATAATTTTTTATTACCAGTTTCCTTTAGTTTGAATGCAAAAACTTGCTTTTAATTTTTTCTCCATCAAAGAAGAAGAAAACATTGTGGCGTCTAGAACACTTGAGTTTACCTTTGTTTCTAGGCTTTGTGAGGTTCTCCTTTTCATTGCACAGTTTCTAAATATTCTAATTTCAATAATTTGCAGTTCAACATGTGGGAATAGTCCATGCTCCTCATGTTGTATCAAAGCCATCAAGCCTTAACAATGTTAATATAATTGAGCGTAACATGTTATATGAATACAGAAGTTGTTTTGCTTACCTTGAGGTAATGTTTAGCATGTGAACCCACTATACAGATCTCAACACATGCCACTCTAAAATATGTATGATGAGGCTAACCTTTGTGTGTTTTGGAAGAGAATTGATAATAAATTGATCAGCATTTACTGGCCTTCCTTGGAAAGATTTGAGTTTATCTTGTAAGACTTACAGGCATGTAAGTTCCAGTTTATATGATACAATAAGATGTTGTGCACAACTTAATGTTTAAGAGGGTAGATGTTGACCGGAAAGGCAGTCTTGATCCATATTATGCAGACTGGATGAACATGGTGTTGTAAGTAGGTAGTGTTTAGCTTCCCTCCTCCCAAAGAGAGGAGAAACTATCTTACTTCTAATAGGAATGAGATGACTGATGGTGTGTTTCTATGTTCTATTGCTCTATTTGATTTAGTTAGCTGTGTCAATGCTAATAAGGGTTGGCCACCATGGACATAGTTCTGTCCTCCTTTCTAGAATGAGTGAGACAATAAGCAAGGGACTCAAATGAATTTGCCAGAGTAGAGGACGCTGAAGAGTCCATCACGTTGTTTACTGGGAACTTTGATGGAATCTAGTGGAAAAGACAAAAGAAATAGCAAAATGATCAAGCTAAAGCTGACTAACGCAACTGTTTGTATTTATATCACTTCGGCATGTGTTCACAAATGTATATAGCTGTAAATGTTTCTCCTTTTTTTTAGTGGTGAAAAACTTATTTAGGGTTTGCAATTTAGATGTGCTTCTCACATCAATATAAACATAATTGATATTCAGGGTACCCAGGTGGGCACAGACTCCCAATGGCCCTGACAACATCTCCCATAGTTCCCATCAGTCTCCCTATCCCACCTGGTTTTATTTTCTGGAAGGTGTTTTTAGCTTCTTTTAATTAAAATGAAAGAAATAGTTAGCGTGTTGCAAAGCAAATCACTGGCTTCAAATGTAATTTCTAAGTACAGTGAAACCTTGAATTAATGGACCCTTTGGGGGAAGGAGATGTCTATTAAATCTAAATGTCTGTTTAATCTGCATTAAATGTAATTGATGTAATTTACATTTGTGTTATTTGTGGAATTGTGCAGATTATGTAAATTGATGCAAATAATGTAAAAACATCAAGTACATCATTACTCAAATGACATAAATCTCATTAACTGTCTCAACTCAAGAAAAAAACAGACTGGTCCATAATTTCAAAGGTGAAGCCCAAAAATCAAATTTGATCCATTGCACCCAGTCCATAAAAGGGAATTTTTTTCAAATCCAAGTTTCACTATTTGGATGCTTCTCATAGACCCCAGACCTTTGTATGTGTGCATTCCTGTTTGGGAAAGGTAAGATGAGGTATAGAACGTATCCTGTGAGGCTAGAGGTGGTAGTAGAGAACGCTGCCACTAGTTTGCATTCTAGTTAATAGCAGTTTTGCAGATGGTTACAACCACCATGGTGGCCATTTTGGGAAAGTGCCACAATATGTTCTCAAAATCCAGCATGCCCTCCAGCCCCAGAAAGATTGGGCTGGTTATGAAGTGCTATGATACAGAGATATAAAATAACACATAGCTGATAGATGGATGGATTTTTCCTCCCCTTTCCCCAAAAGCTAGAACTTAAGGGTCATTCACTGCAACTGATGGGCAATTAATTGGTGCTCAACAAAAGAAAGGCATAATTAAATTTACAGAAAGGAGTTTGCAGAAGATATGTGGATGATCATCAGCTCAGATGGCATTAAAGGTGTCAGACTTCACAGCAGGCATGGCAATACATTTCAATGCTCCTGACAATCAGTCCCATATTTAGGAATTTATCTTATGATAGAAGTTACTCAGATATAACACAAACTTTTTTTCTTGCAGATAAGAAATATTTTTTTTATTTATTTATTTATTTATTTATTTATTTATTTATCCAACTTATGTGCCACCCAACACCCAATGAATCTAGTCAGGTCACAACAATAGCCTGTTATATCATTCAGAACCCAGAAAGAAGACATATATTTCAGAATGCAGAAATCAAGCCACCTATATCTATATCAATAGCAATATCTGCTCCAGACTTTGAATTCTTGACCTTTTTCCTGCCTGTTTTTTTGAGTCAAAAGATGTTGAGTTATTCCTTTTTTGCCCTTGAGAGTCAGAAGCATCTGCTCAGAGTTTATTAAGAATTCTGTCTAGTCTAAGAGTCACTATTACCCACCTCTCCAACTTCAGCTATTGCACCAGAAGGTTCAGACATATAGATGGAGGATAGATTTTATCCAGTGGTTATAAGGCACCTGATATACTATTTTATCAGCATACTGGTTTTCCAAATCTGAATATCAACAGGCTTAGGGGAACCCTACAGTTTGCAGAAATGATAACCAATTAGATAGAACTTCCATGTGCCCCCAAATAACAAAAGATGAAGAGCAGTTGTAGAGAAGGATTATAACTCTCATGTCTTCCTAGAACTATTAGGTTAAATCACAGTGGTAGGTAATAGGACGTTGAAGAAGGCAGATCTTTGGCTCAGTCCAGCAGAGTTGTTCACTATGTTCTTAAGTTGCAAATAGCAATTCACCAACTTGTCTCTGGCAGAGAAGAGTGGCGTCCAGGCATACAGCTGGGGAAAACTGTTTTTTTTTTCTTCATTTTAACCATCCGTGAAACCAAGGACATAAAGATGAAGGGAGCAAAGATTCTTACTTTCTGTTGTGCATCTTTGAGTCCTATTGATGGCATAGCACGATGTTTTATGGTTAAAAAACTATAAGCAGTCACATTCCTGAAGGCTTTGCTTTGTCCTCCATGCTCCTCTGAGTTAATAATATATCTGCTCTGCTGTCTTTTGAAAAACAGTGCCAACGGCTATCTGAAAATCTATTTTATTCTGTATCAGAAGGATAACTGGAATGTGGCTTTGACACAATTGGTTGATAGAACAATGAAGTGGAACTCCAGTATTATAGATGAAATCATCACCATCACCACCACCACCATCATCAGGAAGCTTCTCTCCACAATTATATAAGGACAGAGCTGAGCAAAAGTTGTTCCATTACCTTAGCCAAAAAATAACATGTCCAGCTAACCAGCTGGTAGTTGAACATTTCTTCTGCAGTGGAGACAGGAGTCTCTTTTCCGCCATAATTGAAGACCAGAAGGTGATCTTTAGGAAAAAGGTGGGCAAGCATTTGGTGGCCAAGTATCTCATTTAATGGTGTGGGGTAGAGAAGGGTGGTAGTAGGCAGTGCAGTGATGTGAAGAAGGGATCACACAGTGAGGAACAAGACCCTCCCTCCTGGGCTTTAGGGTTAAGGGTGTGTGTGCATATGTGCATATCTGTATGTGAATATGTATGTATACACAGGTAGTCCTCACTTATCAACCACTGGATCAGTGACCATTTGAAGTTATGATGGCACTGAAAAAGGAGACTTACAACCGGTCCTTGAAGTTGCAGCTGTCGCAGTGTCTCCACGGTCACATGATTGCAATTTGGGTGCTTGGCAACCGGCTCGTATTTATGACAGTTGCAGTGTCTCATGGTCATGTGATTGCCATTTGTGACTTTTATAGTTGGCTACTGACAAAGTCAATGGGGAAGCTGGCAGGAAGTCAGAAGTCATGGTCATGTTACATCACGTTTAATGACCCATGGTGATTCGCTTAACTGTTACCTAGCCAAGTAATGAAATGTTTGCAAGAAAAGAACCAAGCTCAGAGAACTCCAAGGACTCCACGTGAACAACTGCAGCCAAAACTGAAGGAACTGATGTCATAAGTCGGCATAGTCATGTGATGTTGCGCTTAACAACCGTGCCACTTAGCAACAGAGTTGTCGGTCCCAGTTGCAGTCAGTAAGGACTACCTGTAT